GCACTGACGTTCCACTCGTCGCTCCCCATTTGGATTCCACTCGAGCAACGGCCTGGCGTGCGATGTCATTCAGCGGCCTCCTCGGTGGTATGTATACCCGATCCATCTCCATTCTCTCCTACATATTTGTTGAGCAATCGGCTCTCACCTGTTGGTTTATTCCCATTGTTTCTTGTTGCTATTTTTTCTGGTGTTCCGGCCATTTGATCTTCAGTATGGAGCCAGCCAGCAAACAAGGGTAGCTGTTGATGAAAGTCTGCGGTAACCTATTGGATATCCTTTCCGTTACACACTGGCCAAGTTTCTGACCCATATAGAAGAAGTGACTGACTTGACATTGGTGTTGAAAATCCGAATCATGTTCCTTATGCTGAGCAGTGTGAAGAAGATTTCCAAATTGGTTTCAGGTTTATGAAGTAGTATCTTGCCATTCCGATTCCGGTTGCATTTGACACCTTCATCCATTTCGCTTGTAGGTGAAAAGATGCTTCCCAGATAAGTGAAGGAGGCAGCCTCTGTTGAATCTCTCCTATTGATGGTGATATATATATATATATATATATATACATGATATGAGGTAACGTTATCATTCTTATGCCGTATTTCACTATGACTCTCTTACAACAATCCTTGCTCACTGGAAGACTGATTTATGATGATGAACAAAATGCATGTTAAAACTATACGGTAACTGATTGTATTAAATAATGTAGGCTGTACGCAGCTGAAGAGAACCAGCGAAGAAGAATAGATCGACATTATTCTTCATCAATTTTGTTTTGTTCTATGTCTGTTCAAATCTTTTTAAAAGAATGGATACTGAACAAAGAATACTCTTTTCGATAACTTCATCACCATCAGGCTCTACAGTTATACATACACATTATAGTGAATGAATTAGCTTTATGAACAATATTAATGCTGTTTAAATAACATCGACTCAATAATATCAATAGATTACAGTTCAATAGCATCAACATAATAATAAACTGAATGTCAGAAGAATTATGAAAGATAATGGTACAAATTAATTAGTTTATAGTTTCTATTGAGGGCCACGGCAGTAGTAGGGGCTGGACTTGTTTCTTTTGAACACAGAGCACTGGATGTTTGAGGCGAATTTAAATAGCCTCTGCTGTTTGGAGCATGCAGTGCTTCGATGTTTTTGGCAATTTATTGGGTACCCGGTAGATTATAGAGAAGGATTCTTCAGTGCTGGCTGGCTTTGTGGCCGGTTTGCATGAGATGGTCTAATATCGAACTGTTGATGGTTTTCACTACACCTTTACTTAGCCATAGTGGGAGATGTTCTCGAGAGAGGACGAAAAATCAAGTTCCTAGAGCAACGGCCAATATAACTCGCTCCACAATAAGCGCAGTTGAATTGGCAAATACAGTTTGAAGTGGCTAGTCTAGGTACTTCATCTTTCAGTCGTGGAATCTTCATCGATCGTGTAGAGAATAAGTCATGAAGTTCGCCACCATTAAAAGTTCTTTGAACTGATTTTCCTAATTTCTTCGTAATTATTTCACTTGGTATATCGCCCTTGCATTGTAGTCGTATATAAAGTGGCTTCTTGTTTACAGATAGTGAGTAGTCCTTTACCGCTTTCTTTGTCATGTATTTCTTGATAAATTTGTCGGGATAGCCATTTTCGATCAAAGTATCATATACAATGCTTAACTCATCTTCAATTACTTCTTCTGAGCATATAGCTCTAACTCTGTGGCTGAGGGTCTTCACTAAATTTCTTTTCTACTTGATAGGAACGAAGGCCCTAATACTGCCTTGGGCCTCAATAGAAACTATAAACTCATTAATTTGTACTATTATCTTTCATAATTCAACTGACATTCAGTTTATTGTTATGTTGATGCTATTGAACTGTAATCCATTGATATTGTTATTATTGATTCGATGTTATTTAAACAACATTAATGTTGTTCATAACACTAAGTCATTCATTCACTATAATGTATATATAACTGTAGAGCCTGATGATGAAGCTATCGAAAAGAGTACTCTTTGTTCCGTGTCCACTCTTTTGAAAATTTTAATGGGCGTTTTTAATCAGTTCAAATCTTTTTTTAAAAAAAAGGAATTCGTATGTAACTTGACTGTCGCTAAGTCGTACAGTTTGACAATCACGCGGAACTTCCAGTTACTAGGGGATAGTTAACGTGCAGTAGTCGGCTGAGAAGATAGTAAATGTGAACCAATATTATCCAAGATATGGGAGAAAATCGTCAATACCGAGTTTCAGGAAATAACCTTGTTGACTTAGAATATGCAGATGATATAGTCCTCCCAAATGAGGTGAAGACGCCGACAAAATGCAGAGTCTTCTGAACACCTTGAGCTGCAATCTACGAATGTTTGGCATACGATTCTCTCCTGCTGTGAAATGTAAGATGATGTTAGAGGACTGGACTACAGTGACTCGTAGCTTAGAAATGAGGAGAGAAGTGATACAGCATGTTGACCGCTTCACTTATTTGGGAAGTTACATTAGCCCCAACGGCTTGATCGCTGAATAAATTTCAACACGGATACAGGGGGCTCTTTGCGCATATGCCAGTTTACGCCATATCTGGTTTAGTAGACGTTATATTCGGCTATGGACTAAAGGGCGGGTGCACTGCTAAGCAGTCCACTCCGTCCTCCTTCATAATGGCTGTGAGACATGGCCATTGAAAGTGGAGAACATGAAAAGGCTAGTTAGTTGTCTTTGATCATAGGTGTCTGCGTTCTATCTCCCATGTTAGGTGGCATAATAGGGCGGGTAATATTCAGGTTAGGCATCAGGTTCTAGATGAGAAGCGGAAGTCAGTCGACGAGGTTGTGAAGTTAAATCGATTGAGATGGCTAGGACATGTGTTACGTATGCACGTGTAGCCATCACCTTCCTCGACAATGGGAAATGTTAGATGACATAGGGTCAGGCTGTAAAAGAGCTATCAGTGAATCAAATCCACAACAGTTAGTTTAAGCCAGCTAGCCACATAGGAAGGTGTAGACTTCGTAACTGGTTGGGTTCCTCAGGACGGGAAAAGCCAGTGGCTGGATACAATTGGTGATAGGACTCAAAATCATTCTCAGTCGCTGGCACAGATGCAACCACTTCTTATGGCTTATAATACCCAATGAAACTATATTATTCTTCGTTAAAACTATTCCTTTTGTCTCATATTCCTGTCTACCGTCTCTATTTTGCATTTCTTCAACTTTCTTCTCTTGCTTTGTGTGCTACATGGAGTATGGCGATTTGAACTGTTGCACATCGGTGAAAACAGATAGGGAGACAGACAATACAGATTTCAAAATACTTAAAATCGTACTCCTTAGTATACCCAAACGAATTATGTATGATTACCGTCCAGTGAATTCTACAAGTAAGTGGTCATATGGAATAAGTGGCAAAGTTAAACTATCATAACCAAAACGACAGTGATTTTGAAAAACCAATCATAATTTGCATGCAAGAAAGGCGCATAATCGTTGAAAAATGCACTAAAATACACCGCTAACATGATATTACACTAGATAGCTGTCAGTTACGTGTTGTAAGATTAATCCATGCAAAGATCATAGATGCATTCATCTAGGTGACTGTAGGTCACGGTACTTTGTGATCTATTGATATTTATGACACTGTTCCTTAGTCTACTCCCAGCTCTAATCCTAATTCCTAATCCTAATCCGAGACCCTAATCTAAAAGTATAGATTTACAGAAAACGTACCTAGTGGAATAAGTAGACTACTTTATCTACCTTCTCCAAGTCCAAAAGAAAGCAGGCATAATTTGATTTTATGGAGGATTTCATCATGAGCTGACATCAGTTAGAGAACCACTGGAAAACCTGGGAGTACTGGACAGCTGTTTCGTCCTAGTTTGGGACTCTTCATCAGTACGCACCCACCGGGATTCGAACCCAGGACCTTCTGGTTACAAGGCAAGCTCGTAGACCATTGAGCCACTGGGACTCGATCCAATGGTCCTTGAATTCTAACTTCTGCCAATCCACGACAGAGCGCGACGAGCTTGCTTGTAACCAGAACGTCCTGGGTTCGAATCCCGGTGGGCGCGTACTGATGAAGAGTCCCAAACTAGGACGAAACAGCTGTCCAGTACTCCCAGGTTTTCCAGTGGTTCTCTAACTGATGTCAGCTCATGATGAAATCCTCCATACAATTAAACAAAATCCCTACTAAACCAATACTTGATAATTTGATTTGACATGACCACTGACAGCATTCCCTGTACCTGATTGGTTCTTGAAGGTCAACTTTTGGAAGACCTTAACTTTAGCTATGCTACTATAACTTTGCGAATAAGTGATACGTCCGAAAGAGTCACGTTTATTCAGCATGTAGTGCCACGGCCCCAGAAGATGAGAAATAAGGCATGTAATGGTTTCATTTTAACTAACTGCCTTACAACCCATTTTCTTCAGTATGTGGTGATAGCTGTCTGCAAGCGAAAATTGGTAGACAGTAATTTACGTCAATGTTCACGTCCTGAATCAGGGTCATGAGAGGAAAACAATAACAAAGCTTAACTTGAGGAACTCAACAACCAATCACAGAACACTTAGCGTGAGCAAATACGATTCGCAGATATATGGCTTAACTTTCTAAGAAACAGTCACAAAGAGATGAGAGAATAACCTTCAGCAAGAAAACAACCAATCAGAAGGGGTTGCTTCTCCGCTAACAATAAATCTAATAATAATGTAAATAAAAATCTATAAATACCTCTTAATTTTCTCAATAAACAATCTGTTACCTGGCCCTTGTTTTCTGTCGTTACAAGTAAGCAACTAACCTACTAATCCTACTTGAAACTTTCATTCTTAACAGGTACGAATCGAAATCAATGAAGCACAACACACACACAAGGGATGAGTAAATGTTTTTATTATTATTATTATTAATGCATATAAAAATTAAATGAGAATATGCGAACTTTTACAAGACACGTTGAACAACACAAGCCGATCAATTTTGTGATGATGTATTCTCTTGTTGGTCATTTTCTGACGACAACAGATTGTCGTCAAGCCTCTTGCTAAATTCATCCATTTTTGCAATACACAAATCCGGGTTTTGTTGATAAAGACGTACAATAAGATTTTCAAAGCGTTCATACGCTTTACGGAATTCATCGCTTGTATTTGACATTTCAGATGTATTTTCAGGCATTATCTAGTGTGAATAAGATTCAAATTTATTATTATACTACTGTTATTATTATCAATACACGTATTATATATAGCATACCTAATAAATAATGAGATAAAGATAAGTAATGAATACAATCCGATAATCTTAATCAAGAAAATGAATGAGACGATTTATTTGTGTATTTATATTACCATTCTCATGAAACTGATATAAGTATAAAACTTGGGCACTGTGGTGGTAGAGTATAACTACTCCATTATGGATAAGATTTTATTATGATAAATCATACAGTGTACTGTTATACAGTAATATTAACTGATGACCACGTTTCGAGAACAAATTATTGCCGCTCAGAATCATATCAAGTCACTCACACAACTTTTTCCCTCCATTTATATACATGAGTGAAATCGATGATTAGATATATTGAATAAAAATCAATGTGGGATAATGTACATTCAGAAATATCAATAATATGAGTGTTATTGATCAAATACAATCAGATGGGAAATAAGACGAGTCTTTTTTTATAGTCATAATAAGTAACTTGTTAGAATGTTGTGATGTACGTGAATTGAAATAGAATTTTAAGATTATTTATTATCCTCCTCTGATTTGACTGACTGGTGGTAATAATATCTTCCATATCTCTGGTATTTGCATTGAGTCATTTCTGTTGCATGTGTTGGGTGTAGATTCGATGAACAAGGATTCAGTAATCAATCTCTCTCTCCACCTACCTAGATTGCTTTTTAGAATTGTTACCCTCTTCCAACTTATTGTGTGGTTGTGCATTCATGCGTGCAGTGCAGCTGCTGAACTTTTTTCTAAGTTACTTAACTTCTCGGGGTCAACCATTCTTACCTTAGCTAAATTCTTATGTTCTGACAATCTGACTACCCACGACCTACTAGTTTGACCTATGTAGTTGACCCCACTCACAGTCATTGCAGGATATTTTGTAAATTATATTATATTGTTTAATTGGGTCCACCGGGTCTTTTAGCCTACAGAGCTTGTCCTACCTGAGTGAATTTGTAGGTTTGAATGCCATCGCAATTCCTGCTTTATTAAGAATCCTACATAGGGTCTCAGATGTCCCCTGCTTATATGGTTTAACAGTGGATGACTTATAATCTCTCTTATTTATGTTATCATTACTAGTTTCACAATTATTTTTATTTTGCTCTTGGCCTTTTTCGATATTCCTAATGAATTTTATAGGATAGTTAGTTATTTAACACCAACGCTTCTCCTTCTATCTGTTTCATTTCATCGTGAGTACCTTGATATGATGACGATGAGCAGCAATAGATTGTGCTCGAAACGTCGTCATCAGTAAATATTATTGTATAACAATACTGTGTGATTCTATCAAAATAAAATTTAATCCATAATGAAGGCAACCTGTTGTTAAGGTCACAGGGCAAACAAAAGCTACATGATAGGCCTATTCATCAAATGTATCAGAATAAATGTGTTGCCATTCTACTTCACTCATACATCATGCTATGTGTTGAATGTCCTCAGCTAAATGACAATAAAAACGACGTGTAGCCAAGTTACCAGGCAATAATCTCGTTGACTTAGAGTATGAGGACGATATAGTTCTCTTAAGTGGTGAAGACGCTAAGAAAATTCCGAGTTTTCTCAACACATTGAGCAGCAATTTTTGAATGATTGGCATGTGATTCGTTCCTCTTGTCGATGAAGTTACAGGACTGGACTACATTAACTCCTAGCTTAAAGATATGATACGGAAGGGGATAAAGGGAGTGCTAGAGAGTGTTGACCACTTCACTGATTTTGAAAGTTGTAACAGTCCCAGTGTGTTGATCGCTGACGAAATCTCAGCACAGATACAGAAGCCTGCTTTCGTATCTCTGGCTTAGTAGACGTGATATTCGGTTGGCTATCGACTAAAGGACGTGTATACTGTTCAGCAGTTATCTCCGTCCTCCTTCATCATGGCTGTGAGTGCAACAAGGCCACTGAAAGTGGAAGACATGAAAAGGTTATCTATCTATAATCGTAGGTGTTTCCGTTCTATCTCCCGTGTTGAGTAGTATAATAAAGTAAGCAATAATGAGGTTAGGCGTCGAGTGCTAGGTGAGGAGGGGAAATCAATCGATGAGGTTGTGAAGCTACATCGATTGAGACGGCTAAGACATGTGTTACGCATGTCTAGCCATCACCTTTATCAGCAATGAGCAATGTTGGCTGACATAGGATGGGTCAGGTTGGAAATGAGAAAGCTAGTGGGGATCAAACCAAAATGTGGCTTCATCAGTCAATGAAATCTATAACAGTTTAAGCTGGCCAGACACGTACGGAGGTGTAGACTGCTGGCTGGTCGGGGTCCTCGGGATTCTAAGAACCAGTGATAGCTGGAAACAATTGGTAATATGCCTCGATATCGTTGTCAACGGCACAGATACATTCACTATTTGTTCTGTTCTTTTCCCCCTAACACTTCTGTTTATTATTTGTCTTTACTCTCTTCGCTTGCCTTGTGTGGCACATGGAGTAAGAGTGGCAATTTGAAATGCTGCACTTCGGTGCAAATTTCTATGTTGAAACCTGTCGGTCATACACTGCATTCGCACATCCATTCCTATAATTTTAAATATTTTCACATACAAGTCTTATCCACACACAAGTCACACAAGGAATAGGACTTATCATTATTTCAGATGACTGTGTCAACTTTTATCGTTCCTCACACTCTATATACACATACAGTTGTTTTCACTCCATACAGGGAAGTCAAGCAAAGCGAAGATCTCCCTTTAATAATAGTCTCTAGCATTATCTATTCACTATGAGAAAATCAACCAATCAAATTTAGCAGAAAAATAGACCAATAGGAGTCGAACTAGCCAGAGGCGACTGAAAACTGTCTGTAGCTATTTTTGTATCACTTTTCGTAGTTTTTCCCGTCCTAATTTGAGACTTTCCGGCTACTAGGTGAGCTCGTAGGCCATCCAACCACGGGAAGCCAATCGTAAATGACCCATGAATACCAAAACTTGTGCTAATTCACGATATACATATATTGCGACAGCCATCCAGTAGTATCATAGACGAGTAACTGTTCTGTTACCTGACTTAGTGGATCTTACTGTTCGAGGCTTCTCGTTAGAACTCCAAGTAACCACCTCTTGTATTCAGCAGTCACCAGTATGGGTAAGATAAATTATCAAGTGTCAGTTTGCAGCGATTTGATTGGTTGCAGGTTTCATTGCCAGATGATATCAGTCAAGGAGAACTAGACAGCTTGGCACTTCTCAGAAATACACCTTGTGACCAGAAGATTCTAGGTTCGAAACCCCATGGGTGTGTGTACTTCTGAAGAGTCCCGAACGAGGAAAAAACATCTGTCCAATACTCCTTGATTTTGTAGGAATTTGATTTGTTTTCAAGTTTGACCACGGATGGATATCAATTAAAGAAAGAGCCATTGAATACCAAGTACTGGAGCACTGGGCAGCTCTTCTCTCCTAGTTTGGGAATCTTCGTCAGTACGTGACCACTGGGGTTCAAACCTAGGAGCTTTCGGTTACAAGACAAGCTGGTGGTTGCACTAAAATTAGGATTTTGTAGATGTTAGAATTCATAGGGCTGGCCATTGAGTTGGGTGCCCCCAGTGGCTGAATGGCCTACTAGGTTGCCTTGTAACCAGAAGGTTCTGCGTCCGAACCCAAGTGGGTGAGTACTGCTAATGAGTCCCAAACTAGGACAAAACAGCTGTCCAGTTACTTCAGTACAGGTTTTGAATAGCTTTCTAACTGATATCAATCCATGGTCACACTTGAAAAACAAAAAATTTTTGACAACTGTTCATTTTTATATAATATAAAAGCACGATTATATTTTAATAATAGGTAGAGTAGTCTAGGGTAGCCAGAAGTTGAAGTCTATTGTGTTTTTGCTGTGTACACACATAGTTTGGAATGTGTATGTGATTAGTCGTCAAGGTGCATCCACCAACACCTTTAATAACTTTGAATAGAAAGTTATGGTGACATAGTAACAAAAACAACAATAATAATAATAACTGAGAGATAGTCATTAGGTAGTAGTATTGATTTTATGACCAGACATTATTAGTAAATGCTTTACAATGGATGGTACTGGATTTCTATTCAATGTCATTTTCAGTTAGATTTTCTATGTGATTTAATAATCATTTAGGAATATGTGCGTCGGTGGAACAGCGGTTAGGATGCTCGCCGACCACACAACATGGTCCGGGGTTCGAACCCCGGCAGACGCAAACCCGATATCAATGGTCGGCCTGCAAAATTCGGACTACCGATATCACATGCTGAAAATTCCATACTTGTATCAAAAAAAATATGTGGAGTCAAGCTATAATAAAATAAATGTTCTTTTCCATGACAATAGAACATTCTATTGATTCTATTTATACATATGTCTTTGCAACTGCAAGGTGAACTTGTAGATACAGTGTGAAATAGAGTCCCATAGAATTTCATCCTTTAATCCTAGGCCACAAGAATTGAAGACGCTCGAGATTTTAAAGAAGAATTGATGCAGCACAAAATGTCTGTCCACTAGATGATAGCTAACTGACCGAATCCATTGCACTGTCATCTGCATGAGTGGATCTCCCTTGAATGAATAGTTTTTTTTATTCCTTCACGTTCCCAGTGGAACATAGGGGGCTTCAAGCTAGAGGCTTGATGTTTCTGTAGCAGTGGTGATTATTTTAACAGGATGTGGTTGCTAGCCTCATGCCCAACCTTTCCTCTTTACCAGCTTTTTTTTATTACTGGCTTATCGAGGTAAAGGAGTGCGTCGGTGGCCGGGGATCGAACCCCGGACTATGTGCATGGTCGGAGAGCGTCCTAACTGCTGATGCCACCGACGCACTGAATGAATGTTATAGCTTAATCAAGATAAATTACCCGGTTTTATTGCCTTGCTCAGAGATTGACACTTCAATGTAAAAGGTCACGACTGGTACGTTCGCATCTTTTGGGTGTCTATACTTTATAACGTCAACATAAACATTTATGACACACACACACACATCACAACAGATAGAGGAATGAACACACCCACACATGTACTTCATGACGCAACATATACTACTGATTTATTACTATCAGTAGGAATTTGGTACTCTACCCAACCAGTGGAAGCAATGCTTGCAGGCCAGCCAGACGGATCGAAACACTTCTTCTCATCACTCTGTTTTACAAACAGAACAACATACAACAACAAAACAAGTGAAAACAGAATATTATATATTTAATTGTATAATATTTTTTTGCTGCATAAAGAGATTTTAAACTTGAATTTAAAGAAAAATGGGGAGACAAGAGGTAAGAGAAGTGAAGTGAAAATCAAAATGGGGTTTAATGTATTCATTACTCAATGTATTTTTTTTAACAACAATCCGTTTCAATTATTATATGCTTATAGTTATCATATACACAGACAAACAAACGCATATTATATACCGCTCATGGATTCACAGACTAATTCACAGAAGGAGGAGGAGAAGAGGCGAGTTGAAAAGTGGAAAGGAGAATGAACAGGAGAAGACCCCTTCCCTTTATCTTCTTTTTGTCTTTCGTTATACAAAATGACCTTTGTTTTACGCGACTAATCAATATTGAATGATGATACAATAATAGGCAAGTAATATTAGTAATATGAAAAAGATAGACGGATAGACACACATGTAAAGACAAACGCCATAAACAAGATCGATAGATAGATAGAGATACACACATTTGAAAAAAGTACAAGATCGATAGATAAACAGACAGTTAGAAAGACAGGCAGTGTGCATACATATACACACCCACACACTACTAATTAACCAACCACAATCATTTCATCACATTCAATTCAGAGTTAGTAAGACAGACACATAAACACAGACATATACAGTAGAAAAATTAAGAGTGCAAGAATGAAATATTACAATAATTCATAAATCACGAAATACAAAGAGGTAAGAGGAAAGATAGATAGTGAAGTGGGCGAAGAAACAGTGAGGAGGGCAAAGAGAGAGAGTGAGGTAAGTGGAGAAATAATACAATGAATATATAAATATTCGATTGTTATTACTATTACCATCAATTATAATCAAATAGTTCAATTAAATAATAAAGACTACTGCAGCAGACAAAATATTCGTACAATTGTGTGAGTGAATTTGATAGACAAACAGAAAAAACGTGTGAGACATCCGCCATTTTGTTTTAGAGAAACGAAAAAAAAGTGTGTGGAAAGAATTGAGACTTGAAAGAAAACAAAAGAGAGGGAATATTATATGAAATGAGTTTCGCCTCCTTTAATTTTAATTTTAGCGCGCGCGCGCACACACACACACACACACACTAACGCATACATAATAAAGAATGTACATGTACAGAGCACAGCATATTGATTAAGTTTGTATATATATATGTGTGTGTATGTGTGAGTGAGTAAGAGTTTGTGATGTTCAATTTCTTTTTGTTCATCTTCTTCACATATGGTTTAGCGTAATTCTAATGTAAGCGTTTCTTGTGGAACAAGCTGTAAGTCAGCCAGGGTCATATTTTCATCTAGTAATGTTAACTTTAAAATAAATGCGAAAAAGACAAAAAAGGAACATAGACATAAATAATTGACATACAAATATTTTTATATACAACATAAAATAAACGATAGTTAGGTTAACAGGAGAAAGTATGACACTACTAGAAACTCGAATTCGGCATGCAATGCTCATTATTCTACCGGTGAATACGTCCCAGTTGGTTAATGAGTCATATATCAAAAGCAAAGCAGATCATTTACGTAAAACTACTAGTTGTGTCGGTTGATAGTGGAGATTAGATGGGGGAGATCAATCGGAAAGGCTGTGAAGTTACATCGACTGAGTGAAATGGTTAGGACATGTGTTACGTAGGCATGCCTGGCCATCGATTGCCTTCCTCGACGGGAAATGTTAGCTGATATAGGATGGATCAGGTTGGAAAAGAGAAAGCTAGTGGTGGTGGATCTTCGATATTACTGTGGTGAGAGCTTGGTCAAGAGAAAAAACATGAAGAAAGACTAACTCAACAAACAATCACAGCAGACTTTGAGTGGGCGGATACGATTAGCAGATATATATCAACGGACTGTCTGAGAAACGACTACAAAGAGATGTCAGAATAACCTTCAGCAGGAAAACAACCAATTAGAAGACGTTACCTCTCTGCTGACAATAACGAATGATAATGTACGTTATTTTTGATTTTATTTTTAAGCATATATTACATTTCACAGCACCAAGTGTGAGATTCGTGAGATTCTCTACTGCTAAGTTGCAGTAGATAGTAATGAATACGTTTGTATATTTTCTAATTCCTTCACGTTGCCAGTGGAATATAGGGCTTCAAGCTAAAGGCCTGAAGTTTCTGTAGCATTGTTTATTTTTACAAGATGGGGTTGCTAACCTCATGCCCTACCTTTCCTCTTTACAAGTCTTATTTCTGGCTTAGCAAGGTAAAGGAGTGAATCGGCCGGGGATCGAAACCCGGACCATGTGCATGGTCGGCGAGCGTCCTAACCGCTGTGCCACCGACGCAACGATAATGAACGTAAAAATATATATAAATATCGTTTGATTTCTACAATAAACGATCTGTTGCCTGGCCCTTGTCTTCTATCGTTAAATTACTATTCTTTTTGCTTCATATATCTGTTTACTGTCTCAATTTCTCTGCATTTCTTATTACTTTCTTCTCTTGTTTTGTATGCTAAGTGAAGTGTGGCGACTCGAACTGGTGCACATCGGTGCAAAGTTCTATGTTGAAACCAATCAGTCAGTTTATTTAGCCAGTCAGTCCTAGGCCCCTTAAGGGAGAGAAAGTTGGGTGTGAGGGTGACACCATCCTAGCTTCCCAAAAAGTCACAGGAAACTTCAATGCATATCCAACTGATGGGTCTATAAAATAAGTAAACAGAAACGAAACATGCGCATTTGTCCTTGACTGACTGAATGTCTGGTTTCAACATGGAACTTTACACCGATGTGCAGCAGTTCAAGTCGCTACACTCCATGTAGCACACAAAGCAAGAGAAGAAGGTAGAAGAAATGCAAAATAGAGACAGTAAACAGAGATATGAGGCAAAAAGAATAGTAACATCGAAGAACAATATAGTTCTATTGGAAATTATAATTCACAAGGAGTGGGATGCATCTGCGACGACGATTTTGAGTCATATCACCAATTGTCTCCAGCCTTCATTGTTGTTTACCGTCCCGAGGACCCCAACCAGTCAGTGAGGAAGTCTACACCTTCCTATGTGGCTGACTGGCTCAAACTAACTGTTGTGGATTTCATGGACTGATGAAGCCATGTTTTGGTTTGGCCACCACTAGCTAGCTCTTTCCAAACCTGACCCTATATCAGCTAACATTACACACTGTCGAGGAAGGCATGCCTACGTAATACATGTCCTAACCATCTCACTCAATCGATGTAACTTCACAGCCTCGTCGATTGATTTCCCCTCCCTCGCTACCTAGCACTCGACCAATGTCTAACCTCATTTGTTCTTGACCACACCAGCTCAGCTAGTCGCTAAGTTAAAACACTCACACACATATATACAAAGAACCACAGGAAACAAGATAAAAAATGTTAAGATAATGACGACAACTTACATCTCTTCTAGGATATGTAGTTAATAATTTATAATCAGATTTTGAAAAACCTTTAGATTCCATAAAAATAAATACATGCTTTAATAGATCTAGACCAGAAAATCGTCGAATAATTGTACCATTTTTTACACTTGTATCATTAGTTAAATGATTAACAGCAGTAGCAGTGGTAGCAGGAGTAGTAGCAGTATGTGTACTTGTCACTGTACAACCTTGTGGTAAACGAAATCGTAGCGTTGTTATACCAGCACTACCATGCGGTGTAGCGAGAAAGGCATCAGCTGCAGGTGTTTTAGGCGCTGGAGGCTCTTGAGGTAAACTTGCTGCCATAGATAAACGATGCTGTGTTGCTTTTAATTCATTATGAATACGTTGTTCTTCTTCAAGTTGTCTGCGTCTATCCTCTTCAGCTTTGGCTTTAGCACGTTCCCATTCCTATAGAATTTTATATATATATATTGTAGAATAGTAATTATTAATAATAATAATATGATAATATTGATAATAATTAATTATAAATTCTAATTCAATAGGTAAATGATGACAATGCCATATATCAAGTGATTCATCACAATGGAAAACACAACGAAGCCTGTGAAGTCGAGATCGCAGTAAGACAAGGCCGCCTGTTATCACCCAGGATTATTATTTCTTTTAATTCCTAGAGGAACATAGGGCTTCAGCTGCACATCTACATTGCGTTCGGTTATCTGCTAGAGTTTTCACTTGGCTCCAAGTCTGCCAACACGCTTTCATCTCCTCTTCACATGACCTTCTCCAAGTCACCCTTGCATTGACGACCAACTCACCACTTCCCTTTCGGGTTCCACTCGAGCAATGGCTTGTCTAGTGATGTCACTTGATGGTCAGTTTTCTCAGAGTATGGCCAGCCAATCCATCTCCATTTCTTCCTGCCTATTTGTTTCACAATCGGTTCCTGGTTGGTTTGTTCGCTCCCAGAGATCCCACCCTGTTGCTGATCTTTTCTGGCCGGCCATCTGATCTTGAGTATTGAGCGAAGACATCTGTTAATGAAGGTCTGTAGTTTGTTTGAGATGCTCTCTATGACGCGCAATGCAAGTCTCTGATCCGTATGTTAAGTAGCACTGACTTCACATTGGAGTTGAAAATCCGGATCTTATTTTCATTTTCAAGCTGAGTGCTGTTGACCTCCACACAGACTTGAAAGTAGTGAAAGCTTGTCTTGCTTTTCCGATTCTTGCTTTGATATCCTCATCAGTTCCGTCCGCCTGTAGTTGAAACGATGCTTCCAGGTCGGTAGGTAAAAGAGGTTGTTTCTTTCAGGTTCTTTCCATTTATGCTGATTGTTGTCTGTTATTGTTGTTGCTGTTGGTGGTGTTGGCCAAGAATCTTCATCACCTCTGCTTCTCTATGTTTACCTGAAGTCCTATCTTTGATGCTTCTTCTGCCAAGTTGTTGCTTTCCACTTGCATATCTTCCAGTTTGTGGGAAATCAGACATATATCATCGGCGAAGTCCAGATCCTCCAAGTTTTTCGTGAGGGTCCATTTTATGCCTGTTTACTCGCTACCCACTGTCTCTCGCATTATTTAATCTACCGCAATCAGGAATATCATTGGCGATAGTAGACAGCCTTGTCTTAATCCCATCTTTACTTTGAAGGATTCTGTAAGTTTCCCGTTGTGGATTACTTGGCATGCAGCATTGTCGTACAACTGTTGGATGAGATGTATAATTGTTGGCGGCACCCAAGATGATATTCTTGATTCTGGTAGACTGAATCATGCAGAAGACTGTAGGTTGGGAGAGTCAGAAGACTAGATATACGTCGGACTGGTAAGAAGACTCTAGAAGATTTTGGACTTTGAGGACAACTTACGTCTAGTGTCATCTACAGACGAAAACCAACCAGCTGGCAGAGAAGACAGGACTCTACAGGTGAACACATAGAGAAGATCCTCACCGCCCGATAACAACAAGTTCCAATCACTATCAACGGGAGAAATTCAAAGGAGATCACCTTTCTCTAACTCATCTAGACAGCATCGTTTCATCAGATAGATACAGGCACAGTTGGTATGGATGAGGATATTAAAACCACAGTCGGGAAGCCTAGGCTGCATTAATCTGGGGGGTCAGTGTGTGGAAATTTACTGCACTAAGCAAAGAAGAACAAGATTCAGATTTCCAACACTACTAAGTGTCGATTTACCTTGTTGTTTTATGTGGAGCTCCTGCCAAAATACTGTAGAGTTTCATCAACAGTTGCCTCCACTCAATAATTAAGATCAGATAATGACCAGAAAAGATTAGAAACAAGAAACTCTGGGAAAAAACTACCTAAGAACGTAATCCATCTGATGTGACCTACCGCTTTGTCTGTCAGGTAGGGAGATGCACACTTCCGGGTTGCAGCCCGCCCTCGGGACTCTAAGAATCAATGGCTGGAGACAATAGGTGACATGGCTCAAAATCGTTGTCAATGGTGCAGATATATTCAGTCTCTGTAATCTTTCATATTCCTTTCTACCATTACTCATTGTGTTTCACTCTTATACTTGTCAAAACTCTATTGATTCTCCTCACTCATTTTCTTGTCTACCTTTGTGTGGTATTTGGAACGTGGCAACTCGAACTGTCGCACTTCGGTGCCAAGTTCTATGTTGAATCCAGACAGACAGACAGACAGACCGCTTTGTCTGAATTCGAATTTCCATGTAGACTTTGTCAAGAAGACAGCTGTTCTGTCCTACTTTCTAACTCTTCAGCGATGCGTAATCAAGATTCCACCAGGAATCGAAACCTGGGCCTCCAGGTTACGAGACCAAGGTTGTCGTGACTATTCACCCACTTGGGCTGGATTTCCGCCACGAACCAACACCAGTTAAAGAGATCATTCAGAGGCTGGATGGCTGCTGCATCCTACTTTGGGACTCTTCATCAGTAAGCATCCACCACAGGGGCTTCAAAACCAGGACCATCCAGCCACTATGATCTTCAACTCAATGACCTATGATCTTGGCGAGATCACCATCCAATGTCATCGGTGGGAAATCCCATCCTGACTCCCGCCTGGATGCACCTCACTGGTCACGACTTGGCACTAGAACTCCAGGTAACCCCGTCCTGTAGCATCAGAATCTCTATTCATAATATCTACACGCAACACGTGCAATAGGAGAATGACTCATCACTCATACCAGAGAGATATGGAAAATATTACTACCAATCAAATGAAGAGATGAAAAATAATGGGATTATATATGTATATGAAGTTAGAAAGTAGTACCGTGATATGATCATGAGCAACAATAAATTATGCTCGAAACCTTGTCATCAGTAAATATGACTGTATAACTAACTGTATACTCTACCACAGCGCCCAAATTCTATTCTTATGCCTGCGCCAACAACGATTAGTCAGTGAGTTAGTTAGATCAAAGGCAACATAACCTACTAACCCTGCTTACAGACTCCAAAGTTCTACGTAATATACAAAACAGTCCCATTTTGAGAAAGGATCTTTTATGCTTCAAGCTGTGAGGGCTAATGCTACCTCCCAGTTGTTGCTCAGACTGTGACGGAAGTAGATGAAGTGAGATTCAAACGAAAGTCGCGGTGGGGGAGAGGGCGAAAATGGAGAGTTTAAGCGCATACACAGCAAAAAAGAAAAGTTGTGTAGTTCCATTTTTGTATTTCGAATGGAAATAGGTAGAAACAGCCGGAATTGGTGAGAATATATTCTTGCATCATAAGATAACAACACAGGGGAAAGTAAGACAGGAAGCAGACATTGAAATAAAACTAGTAGGACACACAGACGGACAGACACATGTTTACAGTCTAGTTAGAAAGTTAAAATTAGGAGGAAAACAATAACTCTCCACTGTTATAAAGAAAGAACAAAAGTATTTGCAGGATGGATAATAAATACGAGCTCGTTTTATATCATGGATTCTCTTCAAATGAGTACACTCTAAATAAATCGATTATTGGCTCGTAGGGAATTGATCGATTGGTCACAGGATTTCATCATGAGCTGACATTGGTTAGAGAACCATTGGAAAACCAGCTTGGAATACTGTACAGCTATTTCGTCCTAGCTTGGGACTCTTCATCAGTACGCAGCCATACCGTTGGAGTTCGAACCCAGGATTTCCTGGTTACAAGGTGAGCTCGTAGACCATTAGGCCATTGGGCAGTGCGTGTGTACTGATAATGAGTTCCAAACTAGGACGAAGCAGCTGTCCAGTACTCCGGGCAGGTTTTCCAATGGTTCTCTAACCGATGTCAGCTCATGATGAAATCCTGTAACCAATAAATCAATTATAAGTTACAAAATGCTGTCTGAACATACTTTTTACAACGATTTCAAGTGACAGATAGAAAGCATAAGCAATACAATTTCAAAAGATGATATAAATAGGCAAGTATTTAGTGTTAAAAAAAGGGTAACTATTTAGATAGTATGGTTACTTCGGTTCACAGAAGCCATTGCCATCAAAAGACTTCGACCCAATCTAAGCATACAGAAAGATATAATTGAATTTTAGATTTTCCCGTCCATTGATTGGACCAAATGCTCGGTCTCAGGTTGACATATCGGTTTCTTGAGCAGATGTTTCGACGATGTCTGGGCATTTAATTAGTATTTAATTGGTGGATGGAGACTAGCAGTGGAATCCAGGATAATGCGCATTTCGTCCTATTTGGGACTCGTCACTGGATGTACCTGCCGAGGGTTTGGCGTTTGAAACTATGAGCACTGGGTTCGAGCCTCGGTGGGAACATCATCACTCACTGCCGGATGCAGGTACGTCCAATGACGAGCCTCAAATAGGACGAAATGTGCATCCTGGATTCCACTGCTAGTCACCATCCACCAATTGAATACAGAAAGATAGTGTGTGTGTGCGTGTGATTAATCTCTCACTACTCTGATGACCGTAATTGTTTTCTTCGTGTGCTGTTTTGTGTTTTGTTCTGTTGCATAACATTCCACTCCATCTGGATTTTGATTTTCACTCACTGAGTTCAACTCATTATTGATGTTCCAAATCTACTAAATTACATTATTTTATCGATTTTATAATTTTATTTCACTGTTCATCCCCACCCTCTTGAACTCTCCATGATTATAAACTCACTGTGTTGCTTTATCTTGTATTTTATCTCTGGACCATCCTTGTTCCCAAGCGAAATCTGAACTCTATCCTCCTTTTCTAATTATTTTAAAAATAGTTACCATTTTAACACTAAATAATTGTCTACTTACATCATTTTTGAAATTATGTTGCTTATACTTTCTATCTATTACTTGAAGTTATTGTAAGAAGTATGTTTAGACAGCATTTTGTAACTTATAATTGATTTTGTTTAGGCTGTATTCAGTTGAAGAGAATCCACGAAATACAACGACCCTGTATTATCTATCCTGCAAATATGTTCGTTTT